GATGGACGACTCAGAGGCAGTAAGTTGGGGTCATCAATGACAAGTCGGATGATTTTACTCACTCATCCAGCCAGGAGTTGGATCTTTATGATTTAATTGGAACTCTGTTCCTAACCAAAGTAGTCTGCTTGTAAGACGTGCCTCAGCCAATTACAAGTATGGTGAAAAGGTGTCCTGGTCCGGTTGTAGTAATATTGTTTTCCCAACACCAGACCAAGAGCTGAGAGCCCGGCTCATCAGTTGGAACTATGTTCCTACCTAAATAGTTGTCTTGTGGAGTAACGCCTAAGCGGAACGCAAGATAATGAAATATGGATCTTGGCCCACTAGAGTTTTCGCCGGAAATCTCCGAATCAATATCGAGGGTTATTGATTTGTTAAAAATAGTGGGAGATAATTAATTAAAGGCCTAATTAATTATTAAACATGATAGATAACCTATTTTGCAAAATTTTCTGTAGATGGCAAACAACAACCCTTTCAACCTGCGATATGTTCTAGAAAAGGAAAAATTATCTGGAACTAACTTTCTTGATTGGGAGATGAATCTTAAGATTGTTCTCGAATGCGAGAAAAAGCTTTACGTCCTAACATCTGAGCCTCCCAAAGCTCCTGAAGCGAACGCCCGTGCTGCAGAAATTACTTTGTACCGGAAGTATGAAGATGACGCATGTGATGTGAGATGTCTCATGCTAGCCACCATGACCCCGGAGCTCCAAAGGCTCCACAAGGACATGGAAGCTCATCCTATGATGACTCGCTTGAAAGGTCTATACCAAGGTCAGGCTAGACATGAGCGTTTCAAAATCTCTACGACTCTGTTTTCCAGTAAGCTGGCAACGGGTAACCCAGTTGGTCCCCACGTTCTCAAGATGATCGGTCAGATCGAAACTCTAAACTGGACGCCCCGTTGCACCCTATGCTGGCAACTGATCTCATCTTGGGATCATTACCAGCTGAGTATAGTCAAACTGTAGTGAACTTCTACATGAACAAACTAGAGATGACTATGCCTGAGCTACTGAAATTCCTCACAACTGCTGAGGAGAGTCTAGGGAAGGGCAAGGGTAAGTCTGTCCTGATGGTAGAGGGTAGTACTGTTGCGAAGAAGAGTGGGCCACGTTCGCCGGCCGGGACCAAGCGCAAGGGTTCTAAGAAACCCAAGCCAGCGTCCAACTCCTCTTCGTTGAAACCTAAAGAAGGAGCTAAGAAGAAGTCTGCTGTATGCTATTATTGTGGCAAAAAGGGTCACTGGAGGCGCAACTGCGCAAAATTACTGGCAGAGAGGAAAGAGGGAAAGAAACCTCAAACCTCAGGTATATTCGTTATTGAAGTCAATATGTCTGATATCACCTCTTGGGTGATGGATACTGGATGTGGTTCTCACATCTGTACTTCTATGCAAGATCTGCATGAACGTAGACAATTGACGGAGGGAGAGATACAACTAAAAGTCGGCAATGGCGCACTCGTAAATGCATTAGCCATCGGAACCTATAGTTTATCTCTACCGAGTGGTCTTGTATTGCAGTTAAATAATTGTCTGTTTGTACCTAGTATGAGCAGAAACATCATTTCTGTATCCTGCCTTGACAAAGCAGGATTTTCGTTCGTTGTAAAAGACAAAACTCTTTTTGTCTTTAGAAATGATATATTTTATGCAAGTGCAAAAATGACCAACGGTCTCTATGTCCTCGACATGGATACCGCAGTATATAACGTTGATGTTAAGAGAAACAAACCTAACAGTTTAAATCTCGCGTACCTTTGGCATTGTCGTTTGGGCCACATTAACGAGAAACGCATATCTAAGTTACATCGTTCCGGTGTACTTGATTCATTTGACTTCCAGTCATATGATGTATGTAAATCTTGTTTACTTGGTAAAATGACAAAGGTTCCATTCACCGGTCACGGTGAAAGGGCGAGTGACTTATTGGGCCTCATACACTCTGATGTTTGTGGTCCAATTAATACTGTAGCTAGAGGTGGTTATTCTTACTTCGTTACATTTACTGATGACCTTAGTAGATATGGATATGTGTATCTCATGAAACACAAATCGGAATGCTTTGACAAATTTAAAGAATTCAAGAACGAAGTAGAAAAACAATTAGGCAAAAGTATTAAGACCCTCCGCTCGGATCGAGGAGGTGAATACTTAAGCCTGGAGTTCGATGACTATCTGAAAGAGCATGGGATCTTATCCCAACTCACTC